CAATATCTTCTCTACAACTGTGATGCTGAGTAGAAGATCGACTTGACGTAGAGTTCCTGTGCTCAATTGTTTAAGTTCTCCATATGTATTAGCTAACAAGAGCAGATGTATGCCACAACGTAGTCAACATGTTATCGAACGAGTCATCCGAGATAAATAGCCATTAGAGACTTGTGCAGATACGTATTGAATAATGAGTTATGGCAGCCGACTCATATACATTTATTGATCTTTCAATAGACGTTATATTTAGCTACATTTTTTTTGCGTGCTGATCATTTCCGTACTTATCATTCTAATTCCCTTAATCTATATATGTCTACTTTAGACTTGATCCGACGGATAATAAACTCTATGTAAAATATCAAGTAATTGGTTCAAATCAAGTTGCTGTTCCAACACATTTTTTCAAAGTAATTATTGGTCAACGAAATGATAATCAATTAGATATATATTCTTATTTAATGCCCAATGAACCAATTGATAATGCAATACCACTCGATGAATTTCTTGTTGCTCCTGAACTTATTGAACAAAATGCTGGATTTTTAATAACAACAGAAAAAGTTCATAAAAATAAAATTCATGCAATCAATCAACCATGGATTGATTTTAAACTTCAATCACCTCCTTCTTCATCACATCAAAAATCATTACCAGCACCATCATCAAGTCCTTCTACAGCATAACAATTTCTTTTCTTTTGATAAAATGAAAAAAAAGCAACATTATTCAATTTTTCTATTTTATATATAATTATCTTGTTCTATTATATATTTACATTTTCAGATTTATATATATATATATAATTTAATATTTTCATACGATGACTCTTGAGAGTGATCAAGTAAAAATGAAAATTCCATATTTTATTTAATTTATTTACTTTTATCTACAAGGTTTTGGCTATTTTCACCAATATTCTTGGTGTAATCGTTTTTTTATTAGTCGTTGCTTATCATTATATTCAAGCACAAAATCCACGTAGTCAACGACAGACAAATGAATAGAGAGAATATTCAAAAAATATATATATAACTTTCAATAGTAATTGTTTTACTTAAATAACAATTAATTTTGTTTTTTTTTGGTCTGTTTTTCTTTTTGTGTTTGTTGGATTTTTTGTTTTTTATTAGAAAAGAAATGATGTACACATTTATATGTAGAAATAAACAAATATGAAAATATTCTTTATAAATTTATCATATATGTATTCAACGCATATATGATTAATCATTCTAATTGAAATATTTTTCCATTTTGATTATGTATGTGATGTACTTTAACAGTACAATTTTTCTTTAGAAATAAGATTAAAAAAAACCAAGGTATAACTGCAGAATGGTTGTATGTGTGAGCCAATACATTTTTTTTCTGTTCTGTATATAGGTTAAACAAAGGGGGTGCCGTTTCTCGGTCGTTATACTAAAAAAAGAAATAGTTTTTCGAGCAAGTTCGAGATCACTATAATCATCGAATATTCTCTCATTTTCCTATTAATGTGCGCACATTTCTTTTTCCTTTCTTCATAGAAACAAGGGCAACCACTATTAAAAAAAAGAAGATGCACCAATGAAAGTTATTTATTGAGATGAGCTTCATTGACTCGTACAGAATGAAAAAAAGGCACACCCCCTTTTTTCTGTAAATAGACACTTTATCTGGTACTATAAATACAGAGGCATATTCGAAGGCACATCATATTTCTTTTCTCGCTCAATCATTAACATATAACTACTTATTCAAAATACAATGCCTTGCCGTTGCGAAAGTAAGTTATCTAATATAAGAGGTTATTAAGTTCAAAATGAATATTTGTATTTCTTTAGGTGGAAAATGTTCATGTAAAGAAGATTGCAAAAAAACAGGCCAATGTACATGTGATTCAAGTTGTCAATGCAGACAGCAGAGTAAGTTAATCTATTAGATTTATTTTTATTTCACAACATTCATTTCTTTCTTTTTTTTTAATAATCTAGGCACAGGTACAGGCACAGGATGTGGCAAGTCAGGATGCAAATGTGAGGACTGCAAATGTCCACGTGATCAATGTAAATGTGGACAATAAATATAAACAATAATTCATCAAGAGACAATTATATTTCTTGCATTTTCTTTTTTTTTTTATGCTCTATTAATTATTCTAAAGTATCTTATGAATAAACTATAAAATGCATAGAAAAAAATCTTCAGATTGATTTGCATGTAAATATTAAAATTTCAATGCAGTAGACATGAAATGATATGTAGATCTACGGGATGGGCCATAAATAGTACTACGATACAAAAAAAAAACTGAAATGTCTTTGTGTGGTCCGTTCAATCAAATGGATTGAATTTTTTTTATCAGTGATAGAATGTTATCTAAAGTTTTTTTTTTCATAAAGATAAGATAAACAAACACTTCTACTAAATATTATCGTTGGTATTATGAAAGTTATTTAACCTGTTATCAAGTAAGAAAAAATACATGTGTAGAATTTTTAATTGTGACATAATAGAATGATAAGAATAAATTAAAACGAATTTTATGAATTATACAATATTAGTGTACATAAAGTAAATTTTCAAAATTAGTTAGAAACACTAGTTTTTGCAAGGAAACTGATGGTTTGATGTTCAAAGAACTACAATTGATCATTTTACTTATGAGACACGAATTTTAGCATTTAACCTTTTGACCTCTCACAGTGATTCTAGAAAAGTCATTGATAAAATAGCTTTATAAATAGAGTATTAGCCTGTCTAATGTGCTAATGGTGTACTCTAATCCATCAAATGTCAATCTCTTTATGTGGAGCTGTTCGATTGGTCAAATGACTGTGTGATGGAGAGAGTGTATTGAATGACATACTAAGCCTTAATTTTTTTTTGGCCATATTGTTAAGTAGGCAAGAGCAACATCAATCCCATGCTATTGTAGTAATAGAAAAGAAAAGGAAGGAAGAATTGATAAAATTTTATTTTACTAGAATATGTGATCTTTTGATATATCTTGTCAAATAAATATTTACTTTGGTTTGAGAATTTGACGAGTTATTGTGAAGCTCTCGAAACATGTTCTTAACTCACTAGAATCGGTTTCTTCATTGATTTTTATCACATAAAAATTCTGAAAGGTCTCTATTGATTGTAGGTAGAGAACATTTTGTTTCGAAAAAATTCGAATTTTTTCATTTTTTCAAGATTATCGATTTTGTAAACCCGATATATCAAAGACAGCGATGAAAAAAAAAGCATTCTTTTTATTATTGTCCATTTCAAAATATAATGTTCTCCACTGTTTTTTGAATAACTCGAGAATGCAAGCAGCTAGAGATCTGTGATTTTCACCAATCGAAAGAGGAGATCGGAAGACGTTTTTTTCTCCAATAATGTATAAGAATAAATCCTTTTAAAACTATTTATTTCCGAAAAACATGTAAAAGAAGACATGAAAATGATCTATCATCTAGATGAAATTTAGATTTTGACCTTTGATTTAAATAGAGGGACCTCAAATCTATAGTTCAAGATACAATGCAAATTGGTTCTCTTATTACACTCTAACGCTGAGCAAATGCAATTATGTATTTACATGTGCAAATAATAGAGATTTTTGCTAATTTTTTACTAAGTTTTCTCACCTTTTTATCGTAATAGTTTGACATTTCGATGGAAATGTAATGAAAAGTAAGAAAACGCATTATATCTTGAACTATAGATTGGAGGTTCCTCTATCTGAATCAAAGGTCAAAATCAAAACTTCATCTAGATGACAAGTCATTTTCATGTCTTCTTTTACATGTTTTTCGAAAATAATTAATTTTAAAAGGATTTACTCTTACACATTATTAAAGAAAAAGACGGCTCCCGATCTCCTCTTTCGATTGATGAAAACCGTAGGTCTCTAGCTACTTGCGTTCTCAAGTTATTCAAAAAACAGTGGAGGACATTATATTTTGAAATGGACAATAATTAACAATCCATAAAGTTAACTGCAATAAATGTGTTTTTGTCATTTTCAAATCTCATGTTCCGTTTATTTTCTGCAATCGTTTTACAATGGACCAATCCAGGGACCAACGGAGTGGTAATGGGTTAATGTGACCAATTTTGAAAACTTTTCCTATATACATCAATATAGTTCGTTTTGACTTCTTATTATTCTCGTCGATGGTACAACTGAAAATTATCTATATAATTCTTCATATGTATTTTTTTCTTATTTAACAATAGATAAAATATTTTTGGTAAGTTAAAAGTATAACTCGACAATAGTGTTTATTTGCGTTATCTATATGAAGAAAAAAAATTTCAAAATAAGCGTCTATCATTAACTAAACAATAAACATATTAGAACGAACCGAAGCGGAGATATCTCAATTGTTTTATCATAATGTTATTTATGACTCGCTCTGTATGATGAAATTCTCTTTTTGTCTATTTTAAAATTCTTCAAAAGATAATTTTCTATTTAATGTTGACCTTGAAAGTATCTCGACTTTTTTTTTCGTGCATATGTAAAACAAGCTATTTACAGATTACTTATTTTAAAAGAATTGATTATCGAAAATCGTAAAAGTTATTTTTTTATTTTCAATAACTGAAAAAAGAAAATTTTGAATACTTTCGCTGGTAAATAATTCTTTGATAATGAAAAAACAAATAATAATTGCGCTGTTTTTTCTCGAATATTTCATTTCATTCTACTACGTTTTTTATGTGATTGACGTTTCATTTAATACGTTGTCCTTGATGGAGTATACAGATAGTACATAAAACAAAAGAAAAGGGGTGCTGAATATAAGAATAAATGAAATATCAATCAAATCTATGACGGGGGTGCTGCTCCTCAGCGTAAACTGTACCCCTGTGAGAAAAAAAAAAGGGGGGGGGGGGGAATGAACGACTAACAGATATATAAAAAGGCAGACCAAATACAATTGTTCTCTCATACAATTTTCTTGTATTCGTATCTTCGTTTATTATTATTATTATTATTCTAATCAACAAACAAAATGCCCAAACAATGTCAATGTACAAGTGAGTGAGATTTTTAATTTTTCTTGCTCATTATTTAATATATCTTTTTTTTATTTAGGTGGTAAATGTGGATGTGGTGCTGGATGTCAAGGTGGTTCATGTGAATGTCAAGACACTTGTTCATGTAAATGTGATTGTAAATCATGCTCACGTACGTACTTAGATTAAAATTAATATTTTGTTTTTAACTCTTATTTTTTTGTTTTTTAATAGATGAAGGTACTAGCTGTGGTTCAGCATGTTCTTGTGACGATTGCAAATGTTCAGCTTGCAAATGTCATGCTTGAAAAAAATACAACACAATGAACTTGTGCTTGACTGTTTTTTTTTTCTTTTCGTGCATATGTATTGTCGTAGTTTTCTCATATTAAATAAATAAATTTACTTCTTGTTAAATCAGATGTGATACGAACAAGTTTTCATATGTTAATTTAGTTTTTGTTTGTATCAAATATATCACTTAGCTTGAATAAGTTGATAATGAAATCTTTCATTACAATTGACAAATCATAAAAAAGTAATTACATACTGTCTGAATATAGTTTCATTTCGAGTTTTAAAAAAAAACCTATTTAAAATTCTATCAAACGATTATCACTCGTCATGATAATATTGTCTCAAGATTTTAATTTCTTTGACATTCAATATTTGTTTTACTTATCAATGATAATAAAACTTTACATCATTGTTTTAAACAAGTTATTCAAATTGAAGGACACATTTTCTTCTATAGAAATCGAATACTTGAAATTATAATTTAGAAGAATATTTCCGTGTAATATTTATGATCTATGATAGATCAAATAGAGGTTGATCAAAGAAAAATAAAATAATATAGACATAATATTTCATGCTCTATAAAAAAAAAGAAATAACTCATTCGACCGTATCTATTTACATATGTTTTTATTTATTAGTGTCTGTTGACAGGTTTTCTTTACCACAAAATCAAAATAACCACAGATACATAAGTCACATCATGCATATTGAAGGCCATATGTTGTACAACACACCTTTTTTTTCCCCTTCCTTTTGACAAGTCGTATCCCCTCTTTCTATTTAATTAATATATTTGTACACCTTTTTCTTCTGTGTATATAACTAGATTCGATCTTTCCCTCTTCTCCCTTGTTTTTTTTTTCTATTAATTAATAATTAGCTGTAATGTCCTAATAAACACAATGAACATTTGAAAATACATCACATATATTTTACTGTATCGTCACAAAAGACGACTTCTAATACGAAAAACAACGCCATGTTCGTGTGAACGTAAACATTCTAACGTTAGAGAATATCAAGCTCAGTTCGAATAATTTTGTTTTTCTAGCTGGAAAATGTTCGTGCGAAGATTGTGCACAAACAGGCAAATGTATATGTGATTCAAATTGTCGATGTTGTCAACCTAGTAAGTTTATATATTAAATTTATTTTAATTTTATTATATTGTTGTTTTACTAATCAAGAGACAGAATGTGACAAAGATAGCTGTAATTATGACAAATGTCAATGTGCACCAGGGACATATAAATGTTGAAAATGAATATAAACAAATGGTCATAGATGAACACTTGTTTTAAACTAGATGATCTTCATCAATATTTATACGTTTTTTTCTTATGTAGTTTTATAAAAGAAAAATTTTTTAAATAAAAAGTATAACGATAAATACAGTATTATTTTTTTTTGAAAACATCATCAACATATTCTAATGATGTTAGAGAAAAATGAAACATTAAAATAGTTGACCCATCTATGTCATATTTTTCGTAATAAAAACGCACAAATATTTCTCACATTACATAGATATTCAATTAAAATGTAGCGGAATCAGATACTGACTATTAGTACAACATTTTTGAAAATGAACCACATGAGGTTTAAATAGAAGTATCTATAAGATAACTACATAGAAACTTCATGACGCCTTTTTATTAAATGAACTAGAATGATGTTCGCAAAGTATTTACCAATTCTTGCGGTAATTACACATATCATGTCTAACATTGATGTTTCTTCATTTCAAATGACGATGAGAGTTATTAGATATACAACAGTGACTTTTTTTGCATTAATGTTTTTCGTTTCATTTCTTAAATTATTTCTCTATCTAATAATAATAATGTTAAAATTTATTTTCTATGACGAATTCATTAGCATTAGAAGTATCAGAATGGCATTCCTTTTTTATATGCACAAATTGTTATTTATTAACATTCTCATAATATAAAAAGATCTACTTTCGTTATATGAATATAAATACTTCTTACTACACAAAAAATCTTAGTAACATGGAAATGTTTCTCTAACTCATGAAAATATTTTCATCTGTCTGTAGATTATACGAAGTTGTCAATTTCCTTATGAATTTAACCAGTTATTTTCCTATGTTACATTCAATGGGTAATCAAATAGGCTGTCTTTTAATTTAAAAGTTGAATAAAGAAGTGACTAATCTTTTCAAACGATGGTTCTTATGATGATCATGCAATTTTTATTAAATATTATTTAATAGTGTTATATTGTACATCTGAATATCATCGCTCCGATCGAATCTGAATTTAGACATCTATTCTATCAAATTATTATATATTGCTAATCGAAATGTTTATTAGTCAGTGAATAATTACATTTGATTAGTAAAAATTAGTAACAATGTCATATCTCTTGAATTGTTTTCTAGTATGTGCAAATCTTGAATTACATATATGTCTATTTGTATTATTAAAGTTTTCATGGAAAAGATTTATTAAATATATATCTAACAACATAGAACATGATTAAATGTTAACGCTTTCTATCATTATCAATAATAATAATACAACAACAGTGACACCGTGATCAATTAAGAAAAAGAAAAATAAATGTATCAATAAATAGAAATCATTAAAAACTTATCAATAAAGATACTATTTGCATGAATGATTTTTTTCATCGATAATATTTATTGCTGTTACTTATAATTAGTTTTACGTTTTAATTTATTAAGAAGCATTTACTGTTAATTTATATAATTGATATTGTATGCTGTGAAAAAAAAATCATTAAATGAAATAAAATATAGTAAATGAGTCTGCATAAATAGTTCTGATTAAAGCATGACTGCATTGTTTTTATTCGTTAGTTAAAATATAACAACTGTGTTTGAGTTAAGTGATATAAATCATTATAGTTACTGATATCATTTTAGAAGAAGAAAAAATAGTTACAACAAAAATTAATACTAATCGAGAGTTTATGAAAAACGGATCGATTTTCTAGCAATCTTTTTTTTTTAACTTGAAACTGTAGTAAATAATGAGAGCGTTTATAACTAGTATTTAATGAGGATCATAGATGTGACATAGTCGAAGTCGTGATCATTCAAAGTGATGTTATTTTTATCTTTATTTGAAGCATACTATTACGTAATAGTACTGATGGTCTTGAATAGTTGCACGAGAGAAGATTGAATCGGCAATGATTTGTGTATGTAGTACATGCTGTATTTCTTATTTCTTGGAGTTACTTATTTAACACTTCGCATATTTCCGATATATCATAATTATTTCCTATAATTTTTTTCCTTCAATAATTATATATTCTACTGATTATTACAATTGTCTTATCGATACCATAAAATTCTATCTCTACTAATACTATGATTTGATCTTAGTTTATTTTCATTTTCTTGATTATGCGAGATATTCATATATCTATGATTAGCTCATAAAAGACATCGTCTTGAAAAGTTCAAGATGAATATATATATATAAGAATAATGTAATTTGTCAACTTTTAATAAAAGTACAGAAAACAATGACAACAGTACAAAAAGCATTACTATTAAAATTACACATAGTTTTATATTTTCCTATATCGAAATTATAAGCTCAGGACAATTAGTTTTACATACATGCTCTGTTTTCCAAAACCTCTTCAAGTGATCAAATAGAAGTTTATATTCGTACAAACCGTTATATTGGTGCATGTATTAACTGATGAGATCATTGAATTATCATTAAAAAAATAGAAGAATGATAAAATGTATAAAAAAAAAAACATCGACGGAAATCCTGTTTATTGCTCTTACATTGAATAATATTCGTATGCTAGAATTTTTATACAAAGATTGAAGTTTCACGTCGCCATATTGCCCTATATCAATAATTAATAACTTATTGATTTATTATTCTAAAAGACAGTCAATATTAGTCTAGATACTTGGCTCATTCATGACTAATTTCATGTACAATGCACTTAATTTAAAATGACTGTTTGCCATCAGAGAAACGAAATTTAATTAATAGACGAAACACTTATGTTATAAGTAGATATATTTTGAAATATTCTAGATGAAAAATAATAAAACTCTTTTTTAAATAAAAGTAAAAACTAACAATTCAAAAATAAGTAAATTTTAGAATGTATTAACAAATCATAATTCAAAATTGATAATGAATATTGCTGTTATGAAAATGAAAACTATCGAAACTGTAAAGAATGATGAACGTGTAGTTATATTCTTAATGTTAGTATAATGGAATATTTATAGGAAATATTCAACAAGATTTTATTTCATATTATCTACCAAAAAAAAAAATGGTAATTTTAAAAGTTTCGATGCATTGTATAATGTTGGCTTCATAGAAACAGATGGATGATACATTTGTTAACATCAAAGAAAAATTTTGATTATGTAATCACTTTGTATGATGAAATTTATTTTTATTATTCAGAGAGAAAAAAAATTGTGAACTTACTGTTGCACTTCATTACTTTGTTTAATAGAGAACAAAAGTTTATGTTAATTAAGATTACAGAAGGACAAAAAAATCTCAATTGAATATCAACATAAAACAAAACTGAAGATAATGTCTAAGACACTTCATATAAACTAGATCTAGCTACTCTTCATTATGATAATTTAGATATGGATAATATTTCTCAAATTCATACGGAAAGACTATTGAGAAATATAATATGATCAGACATTAGACAATTTTAAAGATTCAAAAGAAAAATTACTCTAAAAGAAAAGTTCGAGTTTATTAACACTACAGAAAGTGTTTGGGAGATATTTTAAAGCAAAGATTTTTATCAGAAATTGTATTGCCAATGAACTTGTTCAAGAGACAAAATTTGATAATAAGTATAAATGAACTATAAAAACAAATATTATTTGTCTAAAATCAATGAAATAAATAATCTATGGTAAAAATTCAAATATTTTTTATTTGAACTAAACTATAGAAGAACAATTGATAATTTAGTTCTTTTTTCACAACGTTGTGTCTAATGATACATTACAGATCGAGGCCAAGGTTTTGGAACTAGTCGGCTCAGCACTCCTACGAATGGTGAGATTTGCGAAGAAAAAAAATAAATTTTTCAACAAGAGAAGATGACTAAGCCCTTTGGCTCCGCCATTAGATGTCCGAAAGTTTAACTACTGGTAAATTATCGAAGAAATAATCAATAAAAATGATACCATACTTCATATTGTTTTACATCTAGTATCAGAAACAAGATGAACTATCTGTATATCAATTAAACAATCATAATTATATATAATCATCATTTAGTACAACTATCAAAAATTTATCATTCAATAAACGATTTTACTATTTATTTTTTTGCGTTATAGAGAAAATAGTTTTTAAATTGATTCTGACAAGAGAGAATAATATTTTGTGCGGAAAAAATAATCTTGAATATTCTTATTGAGAAAAAGAACATCTAAGAAAGAATTCATTCATATCTTGTTCATCACGCAATCTATTTGATTATGTTAGATAGATTTGTCTTACTATTTATTTATTCTTCGCTGTCATCATTCTCTGACAGATGGTATATGTAATATGAGAATAATAATAATAATAATAATAATTAACAGACAATATTATACCTGCTGAATATAGAATTATTCGTTCAATAATTAATCGGATCAATTTCCAATGGAAGGAAAAAAACCGATTGCTTCTAGTCGATTTTATAAATAAGTATAATACTAAGGTTCTTTTTTTTTTTTTTACAAATTCTGATATAATCAATGTATGTTTTATCTTTGTTTTATAGAGTATAATTGATTAGTATATGTTTATATATTGACTAGAATTATAATGCTATAATAATGGATAAGGTGTTATTAGAACTACAGATCATTTTTTGTTGAATATCTTTTTAGATACTCCCTAATTATAATGCTTCATTTGAGCAATTAGAAAATAAGTTTGTCATGAGTAGTCAACAGAAACTTATAGTTTTAACTGGAAGACAAAGTAGATTTTCAATTATTTTTATTGAAAAAGTATATAGATTGTAGTCTAAAAATAGTTTTCTTTTTTGTTCATCTTTTTTTTTTTGGATGAGTATTGAAGCGAATAACCGCATTGATAGTTGACGATGCTTGTTGGTAACATCTTCAATTATTTACTCTGTATGCGTTGTTTCCGTTGACCGGCATTCCATATTGAAGGATTCTCCGCCTAACTCATATGCACATATATAAGTCAATCCTTCTCTTTCGTTTAATTACCACCTCAAGAGGGAAGTCGACAAAAAGCGAATGAGAAAAAAAGAAAATGAGCATCAACTTGTGTGCACAACAGTATAGAAAGCATTTTCAAGGTATCATATCAGTTTCATTCTATAGAAAATACTATTTCTTTTCTACTCGAGTGGACACTTATCATGTCGTTCTAAAATCGATTCAATCTAACTGTTTCTTTTTCTCGCTAAGTTAAAAAGATCTATAGAATCAGTACCAGTAGTAAAGCACACACACACACACACACACACACATGCATGAATTTATCGAAGCACAATGGATGAAATATATGTAGAATGAGACCGAATACGAGACTAAAAAAAGGGAAAACGACGAATTAAATTAACACATTGCACGTGTTTAATCAAACGTAAATCATTACGAGAAAGGATAGATGAAGCGACGATGACGATAATAATGAAGCATTGCATAAAAGAAAAAGTTCCATTCGTATTAATGTTGCTTTCTCCTTTCGATTGTCCATTTCTCGCGTGACATCCAGACACCTACGTCTGATTGAAATAGAAACAGGTTGTGTGTGTGTGTGTGTGTGAACAGGTTCGATTCTAATCCGTCGGGACACATTAGATGAAGCCAAACCAATGTATACATATATAGATATATAGATGTGTGTGTGTGTGTGTTTGCACACAATGACAGATGTTGTTCACACGAACTCTCCCGATATAAAGAAGACAAGACAACGATCGATATTAAACAACTCCTTGTCTTCTTTCTTATTTTCAAGGTTAGCAAGTAATTGAAAAATAATATGCTTCTATCGTTAATAAGCATTAATTTGTTAGTAAATATATTATACCAGTTTAAGATTGTCATTGCATGTACTCTATTTAATGTCAGTCTTTCTTCTCAACAACTCATTTCTCAACAACTCATTTAGAACAGGAGATTTTTCTTTTTTTTTTCTCTTTTTTTTATCAACAAGGATCATCGATCAGATCGACGACAAACATATATACAATAGACATGTATTAAATTGATTCTTCTAACTTCATTTAGAAATGACTGTCCGTGCGTGTACATCCATACATGATCTGATGACATGCTGTGTCTGATGAGTATTACGATGATGATGACGATGATGATGTAAGCATTGAAAGCGGCTGCTTCCGCTATTCTGATATCGATATTCAAGAATGTACAAACACAGTGACGGCTGTTCTATATCTATATCTAAAACATGAACATACATTCATCCAGATGTTTAGTGTGTTCTATTGAACTTCCTGAGAAGTTCGGTCTTATAATGTCTCCGCCCTTCTTCTTTTTTTTTGTTTGTCAATTTCTTTTTCCTCGTTAAGTCCATTTAAGTTGGATAGTATTCTTTTCCCGTCTGTGCGCATTCTCATTAGCTCGTGCTCAACGCCATCACTATTTGCATTTAGTTTCCGTTGTAGTCGCCGCCGTCGTCGTCTTACATATACATATAGACATACATACATACCCATATATATATATATATATATATACATACATACTACAAATTGGAATCGTGTGTGTCGACAAGACATTAGAGAAAAGAAACTTTGAAAATCAATTACTCATATGAAATAGAAATAGAATGCTGATCCTCATCAAGTCAAATAAAACATCATGTTAAATTGTCCGTGAACGCGTCTTCTTACTTTCAATTTATTGTAAAATGTATAGAATCTTGTAAGATACTTATCGTGGAACACAAGAAAAAATGTGTAACAAGCCTCATTAATCACTCTATTGAAAACAGAACAGACATATTTCAAAAAACAAAAAAAAAAAAGAAAAAAAACGTAAATTTCTTTTCTTTTAATGAAGTCATCAAACGTGCAAAATATGTTTATCTTTATAGATATATCATTGAATCGATCATCATTTGACATGTAATGTTCGCGTGCCCCTAACGAGCTTTTCAAAGTGTATGAGTAAGCAAGGCGGATCATTTACAATATATATATATATATAAACCTACTTAAGATATGAGGCAAAATGTGATGAATGACAGAAGGTGAATGGATGGGTGACCGTTGGTCTATGATGCTGTCACTCAAAAAAAAAACGCCTATGAAGAAAAGAAGAAGAAAATGTTTCTCTTTGTTTCCCTTTCGCTTGCTCTCTCTCTCTCTCTCTCTCTTTTGCTCTTTCACTGTCAGAAGAAAAAGAAAGAAAGAGAAAAGCAAAAGTTATCCTCTCCACTTGAAACAAATCAACTTGATTTCTTCTCTCATTTTTTTCTCTTTCTTACTATACATACCCCAAAAAAAAAAAGAAAGTCAACTCATAGTGCCGAAAAGAACTTCCGCTTTTGATACTGTCCACTACTACTATTCTTCTTTTCTTTTGTTTTTCTTTTTGAAGAATTCAACGGTATGTAGGTTTATATGAAGCAACCGTAAAAAGTATAACGTTCAATTATAATTTTTATTTAATCTATCATCTAATCAATCGTCAATGCCTATCGAATGTTGTCTATTGTCGTTATCATTTATATTTTATTAATTCAACAACCTTATCAAACGAATCAATTAGAAACAATTCAAACAGCTTTAGCTAGTACTGTCGAATTACCCTGTTCAGTCGGTCAAAATATCGAACCGGCAAATCCTGCAAAGGTAAGTGCTGGGAGGGACAAGTGTTTATATGTTTGAGTACAGTTTGTTATTGTTGGTATGGTATTGTATTGTTCAAAGAAAAAAGAAAGAATGAAAGCAGTTTCCAGGGGGCACACAATAACGATGACATCATGAGCAATACACAGCTGGTGAATGTATATACATATTCATTAATAGTTACTCAGCACGAAATTTTCTCTCCTTTTTTTTTATCTTTAATTCATTTCTTTCTTTTTTTTTCTACTATTGTTTAGATCATCTGGATTCGTGATGATCGAGCAGATATTGTCAGTCTTGATTCAGTTATAACAGTAAGAGATCGTCGTTTAAGTATTCTTACAATGGATAGTATTGATCGTGAAGAACGTATTTTACGTATAATTAATGTTGAAGAACAAGATCAAGGTTTATATCGTTGTGTACGTGGTGATATTACATTAAATGAAGTTTTTCTTGATGTACTCCGTAAGTATATTCTCTTGTTTTCTTAAATCAATAGACAAACTCATCTATCTCTGTCTCCCTCTCTCTCTCTCTATATATATATATGTATAAAAACCTTCATGAGCATATGTATGTTTGTGCTTTATCATATCATTGTTTTGATCGTCACTCGGGTTCATTTTGACAATGCAAACATATGTCCGAGGTGTGTGTGTGTGCGTGTGCGTATGTTGACTGACCTTCTCTCGTTTTGGGGTGTTGTTGATACGTATACATACACAAACACACACATATGAAGAGACAAAAACAATCCGCCTCATACGTTTACATTTGGATCTTTTTTTTTCATGTTTGTATGTCGTCCCTCCTTCTTAGATATAATAGAGGGTGTTATCAGACATACCTATAAATATCGGAAGAAATATATTTGACATTATGACATCAAGTAGTACGTTTTTCGAAGGTGCACGATAATCGGACTATAAAATAAAAAAGAATTATAGATCTATAACTTCCGTTTAATGATAGTTATGTCTATTTCATCAAAAAAAAATCTCAAGGAAATCATTTAAATAGTGTCAGCATATTAATAACCTTCACTTCAATTACATTGAAATAAATGGTATGATTTGCCTCGAAGGTGTAGAAATTAGTTTTTTTTGTATGTGTCGACTATACATTGTTCTGTTTGTTATTAGTAATCTGTCTTCTGGCTGATTGTTCACTCCATTGAATCTATTCTTTCATATTTTGTTTTTTCTTTAATATATATATATATACGTGCGTTTGTATTCTCATTTCGATGTCAATGAGCGTGATAGGAAGGTTTACCCATACTATAAGAACATACAAAAGCAGCTGTGCATAAGCTAATTGTTTTTCAAGTATGATATCTACACCTTAAACATAAAAAACAAAGACAAGAAAATGATCATTTGATGAAGCATTAAATGAAAAAGTCTATTAGATCGTGCTCTAGACAACAATATAAACGTAACAAAGAAATTAATGTGATCGACGAGTTAAATAGAAAATGAATATCTGTGTTTGATCATAATACATATATGCATTCGATAATGATGTTAATGAGTCAACATTGATTGTAAGTCACGTCCATCACATTAGTTTGTCGATGAACACTATCTTGAGAGAAGATTTTTATCGAACACGTTCTATGTTTTCCTTTTGTTTCTTATAAGTATCTATTGATTCTTATTTTTTTTTTTAGTACCACCAAGAATCATTTCTCATTCACCGGAACATATGCGTATGACAGTTCGCGAAGGTCGAAATGGTCGATTTTCTTGTACAGCATCCGGTCGACCAGTACCCGTTATTCTTTGGCATGTCAATGGTCTATCGAGGCCAGCAACAGTTACAACAAGTATGTCATAGTTTAAAGAAAAGAAAATTGACATCCTGTCACACATACATCTTTATATATTTAGTTACGGGTAAAAATGAGAGCATTCTTATCTTACGTAATATTTCACGGTTTGATTCGGGTCGAGTCGATTGTTCAGCAAGTAATACATTGAGTACTGTCAATCGACAATTTCTTCTTCATGTCAAATGTATGTTTAAGTTTTCTTTCTTTTTCTTATTCCTTTTTACATCCTGAATATATATGATTTAGATAAACCGACAGTTACAGTTCCG